AAAGAAAGAAAGAAAGAAAGAAAGAAAGAAAGAAAGAAAGAAAGAAAAGAAAGAAATGAAGAGAGTTATTCTTCCTACCTAGTTTCTCTACTCATGACAGAAAGAGATGGTATGGAAAGAGCATTGACTTTAATATAGGAAGCCTCAGTTTTAGTCCCAATTCTAATATTTACTATTTTAGTCCTAGATATATCATTTGGCCATAAGAACATAGAATTTAGAGCTGAAAAGGATCTTTTTTAGTCCAACCTTTTCATTTTATAGATGAGCCACTAGGTGGTGACTGATGGTTACTATGATGCATTTAGAGTCAGGAAGCTCTGAGTTCAAATCCTGCCTCATATATTCACCAGCTGTGTGACTCTGAGGAAGTCACTTAATGTCTTTCTGCCTCAGTTTCTTAAACTGCAGAATGGGGATGCTAAGAGCACTTACTTTCCAGAATTGTTGTGAAGATGAAATAACATATATAAAGCAGTTTGCAAAACTAAAAGTTCTATATAAATAATAGCTGTTATTATTATCTTTATCATCGTCATCATCGTTATTATACCTCCTGCTAAAATTAAATGATCTCTTCCTCTTCACCTAGTTGATAAGTTGTAGGACTTGAATTTGAACCCAGGGCCTGAGTTTCCAAATTCATTATTCTTTCCAGTATACCACTCTAACTTATTTTCTCTAATCTTCCATTTCCTAACTATCTGAGCAGCATTGTTTTTTTTAAAGTGCTACAAAAATGTGAGCTGCTATTATCACCACCACCACCACCACCACCACTACCATCATCACCATCACCATCACCATCACCATCGCCATCACCATCACCATCATTATTTCTACTATTCTTAGGATTGGCATAGTGTATAGAGAAGAAAGGCCTGGGTTCAAAGGCCACTTCTAATGCCTACCATTTGTGTGACCATTAGCAAGTCATTTGATCTCTCTAAAGTTCTAACAGATCTTTAAGACTATAAATTATAGGTAAACTGTAGTCTTATTCTCAAACCTACAGGTTCTTGACACAACAGCGTATTATGACAAAGTGATAGGCCATTTGTCTCACTTGGTTTTAACAGTCTCCTTTCTCTCCAAGGGAAGAAGCAATGCTGTCTACTTACTTTGAGACCATCAATGATCTACTCTCCTCCTTTGGGCCTGTCCGTGACTGTTCACGCAATAATGGAGGGTGCACCCGCAATTTCAAGTGTGTGTCAGATCGCCAAGTAGATTCAACTGGATGTGTGGTATGTACTGCCAGACCTAGAGAATAAAGTTGATTAGGATCAAGTCAGAATTGGCATTCTTTGTTGCTAGGTTATAGGGTTAATTTCTACTTGGGTATGTGTTGAACTTAATGGTCTCTGAGGTCCCTTCCAACTGAGCTTCTGTGGAGCTGAAGTGAAGAGGCAGGGGGAGTGATGAGACAGAGAGAGATAAAGTGGGAAAGAATATTGGTTGAAGAACAAAATCAAATGGAGAAGGATAGGAGAACCTTGATGTTGTATGGCATCCTAGCAGTACTGATGTGGCACAGTAATGGGTCACCAGCTATCAACCGATCTTTTCCAAACACACATATTGTACAAGAACACTACATGAAGTCCTGATGGGGCCTTCAGAGGAATTACCTAGTCCATAAGTCAGTCCACAAATATTTGAGTTTTTACTATATGTAGGACTCTGTCTTAGACTCCATGGAAGATGCAGAAAAGTATAAAACATGGCCCCTTCCCTCAAAAATTTCCAGTCTTATTATGAAGGAAAAAAGTAGTAAAGATCAACAATGAACTGACAATCTAACAAAACCAGTCAGTAAGAGGTAAGTGGTGGAGCGTGAGTTTAAAAAACTGAGAACTCTAAAACAGAGGAGGGAAGAATGGTATCTCTTCTGGATAGTTTTTCAAAAACATTTCATGGGGGACGTTGCATTTGAGCAGGTGACATCTGCCTTAAAAAACCATTATAGACTCAAAGATCTAGAGGTGGGAGGGACCTCAGAGACTGCTGAGATAAACTCACTTATCTTAAAGATGAGGAAACTAAAGCCTGAAGAAGTGGAGGCATTATCCAAGATCACACAGATATTAAGCATCAATGGCAGATGTGTGCTTTGCTTCCACAGTTAGCACTCTTTCCATGGTTCCAATGTGACTCATAAGTTTGAAGGAAAGAGATCACAGGGTCATCATAGGATCATTGATTTAGAGATGGAAAGAATGGTAGAGGTCATCAAGTACAACTATCCTGGTATTTGAATCCAGGTCTTTTTGACTCCAGGTGTCTCCTATCGTTTCTGCCAAGCTGTCTCATATTGAAATTACCTGACCACAAATGCCCTTTTAGATATCCCAATGTCATCCAGCCTTTGAATATTTGAGTATTTCCAATGATGGAGAGCTGAAATAGGGTTGTGTAGTAGAAAGAACATTGTCTTGGGTAGGAGTCAGGAGACATGGGGTCTTTTCTGGCTCTCTGACTAACTGTGGAACCATAGAAGGGAAGGTAGGAAGGAAACAAACATTTTCTTCAGCACCTACTATTGGCAAGCACTGTGCTAAGCAGTCTACAAATATTTCATTTGATCTTTACAACAATCTTGAGATATCAGTGCTATTATCATTTCCACTTGACAGTTGAGGAAACTGAGGCAGACAGGTTAAGTTTTTTGAAGTCAGGTCTTTGGAACTCCAGGCTCAGCAGCCTATGTACTGTTCCACCTGGTGTTTGTCCTTCATTCTTGAAGAGGACAAAATGACATCAGTATGTTAGAGTCAAGTTACAATGAATCTGACTGTGGCTGATCAGACCAATATGAACTCATAATGCTCTACCACAGGTCGGGAACAAATAGTTCATGTGAATATTTGGGGTGGAATCTCTAAATTTGTGCATCTTGGTTTCTTTTGAGCAACTTCAATTTTGCTTTGCTCACAGAGCACAATACCTTCTCTGATGAGGTCCACTCTTTGCAGTGGAGTTTGAATACTTGTTAATTTAAATTGAGAAAGGACCTCAGTGCATGGCACCTTATCCTACCAGGTGGTCTTTAGAATCTTCCTGAGACAATTCAAATGGAAGCGCTTCAGTTTCCTGGCATGATGCTGGTATACTGTCCAGGTTTCACAGGCATACAATAGGGTCAGCAGAATGGCTCTGTAGATTTTCGGTTTGGTAATCAGCCTCTTCTCTCCCACACTTTCTTTTGGAATCTTCCAAACACTAAGATGCTCTCATGATTTTCCAGTCACCAATGGAGTGAAACAAGGCTGTGTATTTGCTCCTGTGCTTTTTAGCATGGTGTTTTCAGCCAAGTTGTCAAACACTGTCAGTGAGGACAAACACAGCATCATTACAGCTACTGCACTGATGGTAAATTCTTCAACTTGTAAAGGGTACAAGCCAAGACCAAAGTAGAGGGAGTGTTGGTGTGTGATTTTTTTGGTTGCAGATGATTGTGTGCTCAACGCAACCTCTGAAGCTGAGATGCAACAAAGTATGGATTGTTGCTGATTGTGCTAATTCTGGCCTAACAGTTAACACCAAGAAAACACAGGTGCTCCTTCAGCCAGCACCACACCACCCATACTGTTCCACCTAGTCATGAGTAAATTGCTTCCCCTCTGTAAACTGGTTTCCTCATAGGCAACATTCCAGGAGCTTGATGCCCTTGCTAGGTAGTCCGTTCCACTTTTGCATGGTTACATAGGTTAGGTGATTTTTTCTTCAGTCAAATGGAAATTTGCCATTTTCCACTCATTGCTCCCAGTTCTGACTTCTAAACCAAGCAGAACAAATTGAATCCCTCTTCTAAGAAGTAGAAATAAATCTCTAGGGCAGCCTGAAGGATGTAGCATAAAGAAAGGATGGAAAGTCCTACTTCTTTGTCTAAATGGAGATTAGGATTAGGAGCCCCACCCTGGGTTAGCCACTTTCTTCTCTACCAGCTCACTTTGTGAGTCACTGTATAAATGCCAGTCATGGAGCAGCCAAGAATAGAACCTGGGGCTTGGTTCTTCTTCCCTGAGGTTCCCTTAAAGGTCATTCCTTCATGGAAATGGCACCCTGCTTCTATTTGTCAAGAAAGGGAGGTATCCCAATGCGTGTTGTAGCAAGTGTCTCAGTTGCATGCTGTGGTCAGACTTTAGGCTCTTGAATAGGAGTAGAGTTTCAGAGAAGTCCCAGTATATTTCATTGCAGAATCTATGCAGTCCCTTGAAAAATACTGAGCTAGCTATGTCTTGAAAAAAATACTGAGCTAGGAATGTCAGCTACAAGAAGGTGTTCAGCATCTTGGAGGCATTCCTTCCCAAGACTCTGACTCCAGACTAAAGACAAATGAATTCATCTTGGAGCAGACTTTTTTTTTTGTACACATGTGTGATTCCATTATTATAAAGATCACCCCATGAGAAAACTCCTTCTACCAAGGAAGAATAGCAACTGTTCCGCAACTTGTTTTCTTAGAGAGTGGCCTGAGGCAATGGGAGATTAATTGACTTGCCCAGAGCCACATATCCCCAGTAGGTGTCAGAGGTAAGGCTTGATAGAGGTTGCCATAACTCTGATGGTAGTTAACTATACTGTATTCATACTACCTCTCTTGGACCAGCAGAGTAAAATTAAAGAAACAGATTAGCACTGGAGATCTTAAAGGTCACCTAGAACAAACCCCGCATTTTAAAGAGAGGAAAACTGAAGCCTACAGAAAAATAGTTACTTGCCCAGGGGGAATCTCTGCTGGCTTATGACAATTCTCTGAGGCCTAGAATCTAAGCTTGTGAATCCCTTGTCCACTGTACCATAATAACTTATCTGGAAGGACTGTTATGTTCCTACATTTCTTTGGACTCTCTCTCCAATCCTGATTCAATTTCCTGTCTCTAAGAGCTGCGGTCCCTGACAAAGGATGAGTGATAAAGATGCAGAGACACGTGCCTGTGTGAGTGAGTATGTGTTGGGGAGTGGGAAGAGTTTATCCTTCCCTTTGTCTAATATAATCTAGGAAATATGGAGAATAAGGGCATCAGTTCCCTTGAGTTCAAAAAGATTCAACATTTTGTGAAACCAATCAGAAGCCTTCCCCTCTGGATGCAGGGCACGAGGTTAAATGATGAAACTATTTCCCCAGGGTCTGAGAAATGCCCTTCGTCTTGCCATTAGGATAGCTGAGGAGACAGAGGCTGATGAATAGAGTTTTAAAAGCCCTTTTATTTCTCACAGGCTTCAACTTGATACCTATAAAGCAATCAGTTGTTCTTCTCACACATCATTTCTAAGGATCTGCTTTTTAATAAGCCTCTGTATGGATACCTCCTTGGCATTCACATATTTCAGGATTTCTTTTTTTGTTTTCTTCTGTTTTCTGCAGGGATTCTCTGCCACTGAACTTACCATCTGTCTCACTCATTCAGCACTTTTCAGTATATTGCCCAGTAATTGTCAGCCATGTATGTCCTATGTTCAGTCTCCCTTTGTTCTACTCAGCCTCTTTATTGTACAGATTTGTGTTTACATTTATATCTATAAAGAGATGGAATCGAGGGTCAAAAAAAGAAGTGACTTACCAAGGGTCACACAACTGGCTAACTACAGAACCAGGACCTTGAACCCAGGTCTTCAGAGGCCAAATTCAAATGTCTTTTGATTTATTCCTTTAAGAACGTATAGATACTATTAGACTATGAGATCAAGAAGATGGTGGAGTTTTCCGAAGCTGTAGGGATACACATTTGCTTTGTAGGCCTTGATCAATAAATATTTTTTGACAGCTCCAGGGACGATGATAACAATGAGAAACAGTCCAGTGCTATACAATGATCCTTGCCTCAGTAAGAAGATATGTCTTCAAATTTTGACTCTGACATTCTTAACTATGTAACTTCAGGCGAGTTTCTTCAACTATCTGAGCCTAGATTTCTTAATCTACAAAATGGCAAAATTTTGTAAACCTTAAACTCCTGTGTAGATCTGAACTATGATTATGGTACAACAGTACTGCCATTGCAGAATGATTAATGTACCAAAAAGTGGGGCTTTCCCTCTGTGTAGAATAACAGAGAGAAACCATGTTATTGTAGATAGAGGGCTGGCTATGAAGTCAGGATGAAATGGGGTCAAGTCCTGCCTCTGGCACATGCTGATTTTATGACCTGGTACATGTCACTTTATCTCTCAGTTTCCTGGGAGACTCTTTAAGTGGGGAACCTGTGGCCTTGAGGTTATATGTGGCCCTCTAGGTTCTCAA